AAAATACTCCTTTGCTGGTATCTCTTACCCTTTTAAATTTGGCATTAAATCAATACTTAAAACTTCAGTTCAAATATAGTGTTCCACCATTAAATCCACCAAACAAAATCATAACTTATTGAAGTAAAAGAAGAATCAGATTAGGAGGCAGAAGACTCCGCCCTGTAATAGAACCCAAGAAAAGTTACTTGGACCCTTCAAGCCTCAGCTTTTTCGTCTCAAATACTGGATCAAATGTGAAAATATTTCCCTCAGAGACTGTAAAATGCTATAAAAATAAAAATTCTTATTTTTATCTTTTACCACAGCATTCAGTTCCCTACTGACAAAGTTAGCTACACAATTAGTATTCCCTGATAGCTTTCTGCTTTGTTTTTTCTCTGCCCCCAAACATTTTTCAAAGGTAAGAGGAGGAAGATAATTTATGTGTGAATGAAAATGGATAACTTAAGAAGAAATACTTTCTATTCTGTGGTGAGGAGAGATCTGGCCATACACCCATGTACCCCCATCCCCCACCCCCTAGATACTGCACTTTTGGCTCACACATAAAACTAGGAAAAGAATATTTTGTGTGGAAAACTTTTCCAGTGTTCTGGCTTCTAAAAGTGAAGCCTTTTTTATACTTATTCCTTTTCTCAATAATTCACTCAGATTTCCCAGGAACACAAATAAAAAAGCATCTTTTTAATAAAAACCAAAATTTTCTACCTCCCAAACAGTCTTTATCAAGAGTCAGGTTTAGACTGTACTATGGAATATTTACCATCTCATAGTCTGGTGCTTCCATTCGTTTTTTCAAACTGTGTACAAGTGGAATTAGTGACTCCATTCTAGAAAAAAGTCATGGACGCTCAATTAGACATAAACATCTCAATGGAAGTAACACTAGCAAATGATAGCTTCTGCGTAAAACTTACCATTAACAATGTTTCATACGATACTTATGAAATATGAGATACAGTTGTTCAAATAGTGTGTTAAAATACTATCAAATGCATGTTCCCTACTATTTTCTCACTCAAAAGAGGACATTGTGTAAAGGGTTGAAAAATAGTACTCAAGTAAATGAGATTTTCTTCCACTATAAAGAAGAGTCCTCGTGTGGCACTGTGGGTTAATGTGGGGACTGCAAACCTGGTGTGAACAGCAAGGTCAGTGGTTCAAGCTCACTAGCTGCTCCTCGAAAACCCTATGCAGGGTCACTATGGGTCAAAACCAACTCTACAGCACTTAAAAACAATAAAGATAGAATTTCTAATATGCCTCTAAAAGTTATTTTGGTCAGCAAGAAAACTAAGTGTTTTTAGAACACTGATGAAAAGCCATATACACTTTATCAAAAGTAAAAAATTAAGGACTTATTTATAAATGTATATAATATACACAATTATAAGCAGAAACGTTGTAAATCCTCTTATACAATAACAACGGTGCTTTAAAATTCTCTAATTTAGCAGGAACTCTTTGGAGTCCTGGTGTGGTGCTGTAGGATAGGCACTGGACTACTAAGTTCAAAGTTGGTGTTTCAAACCCACCAGGTGCTTCTCAGAAACTCGACATAGTTGCTCTGAGTCGAAACTGCTTGACCGCACTGAACAACAAAACTCTCTGGAAACTCTTATCAATGTTTCTAGTATCTTCATGCCTCCTCTGCTCCCCTCCCTCAACAGCCACTAAGTGGCTGGGAGGGAAAAATAAAAAAAGGAGGCAGCAAGGCCTGCCTAACCACTCAGACGGTCACATTGTCATTTCTATTTATGGTATCTTCTAGACTTTGGGGTCTGAGCCACTCACCTCCTCTACTTCCTTTAAAGTAACGGTTCTCCCATCATGCCTTATAGGGCAAGGATGGGGACATCTGGCCCTGCCAAGGCAACCGCAGTTGCAGTTCTCACATTTGTTTTTGTTAAGTGCCACTGAGTTGGTTCTGACTCATGTTGTTGTTGTCAGGTGCCATCGAGTCGGCACAGACTCATAGCAACCCCATGCACAGCAGAACGAAACAATGTCCGATCCTGGGCCAACCTCACTACTGCCACCACACTTGATGCCATCAACGATGCCACCTGGCTGATCCATCTCGTTGGGGGTCTTCCTCTTTTTCTCTGACCCTCCACCTTACCCAGCATGACATC